TTCAAGTTTGACGTGAAATATTTTGACGTGAAGGAAGAAACGATAGATGTATCTAAATAATTTCCAAATTTCAACCATTCAAATTCCGAGTTTTTCAATTCACATTGTAAGTACAAAAAAAGCAAAAAATTGAAAATAATTTTTTACCACGTGCCAATAGCTTCGCTAAAATCTAAGGTGCGATTTTATTATAAACTTGTTGCCAGCTTGACGAGTTGTGAATGGGAAAAGGCCTCGTGTATGGAATTTGGGAAGGGTTAAGGGTGCAGTGCCCTTTATGTGTATTTATAGCGACTTAATATATGGAAAATCTAGCCAACCCTTCCCTTTTTGTTACCCTGCACTGTTAGGAATCACGCAAATATTATTTACCAATTGACACGACAAAATTATAAAAGTTTGTCACTGGTATGGGAAAACTACAATACCGAACTAAGTATTACCGCATATATGTATTACTTAAAAATAATGAGTTAATCCGTCATAAATATTTCTGTGCATATGTAACACTGGATATTATCTGTATTTTAGTACTGGATTTCTAAGAGTGTGCAAAAGGTTTTATCGGCCTAGCAGGTATTTCTTTTTTTGCAGAACCGTGGGGACAAAAACACGGGATTTACGATATGACTCGAAGGGGGTTTTACCCGATGTGCACACGGTAACGCCCGACCTTATTGCGCCAGGTTTGAATTTTGTGTGTTGCACACTTACAAATATTGCTTTCCTTCCGAAAAGTGAATTGATACACTCTAAATTTTAAATTGAGTCAAGTATACAAAATCTAGAGTACATAAATTTTACCCTTTATGAAGTTAATGTTACCCTGGATTTTAAGTAGTTTACATAATTAAGTCGCATTTACATTGGAAGCAGGTAACATTATTTTTAAGAGTCACCCCGAACTGTACTTCTCTTTAATGATTTGTTTAATTAAAATTCTTCAGTGTTTCGCACCGAATCGGAATTATGAAAAAAATGAAATTTATGAAAAAAACAGCATAGATATGTATTTATTTTCTCTGTGGTTTAATAATCCAATGCCGCAATGGTGAAGTAATTTCGAGGGTGCGTTTTAGAGAAAAAAATAAAGAGACAAAAAAATCAATTACGAACATAATCTAGTGCTATTGAAAGGGATTTTTTAATACGACCTCCTAATAGGTTTAGAAATTAGGGTGGAAATTGCCACACATATTAAATTATAAGTTGGTAGATTTTGACATTGTCGTATTGACGTATGTAAATTTGAACCCGAGCTTGTAATTGTACCAATTAGCACAAAATGTTGTCTGATGTTAATCGAAAAAAAATCATAAAAATTGTTTTACTACAATTTATTTTATTGAAGACATTATTTTTCATCCAATTTGAACGAAATGGAATAACACTTTTAACAAAATTTGTGTTAAATTTACTTATTTATGAGCAGCTCCGTTTGACGTCAAGTTCAAAGATGGCGTAACGAAGCAGCACACCAAACCTGTGTCGCACGTGGCAAGAAAACTTGGAATGGCGGCAGGTGTGCAACTCGTTTCACATTTTGTCCCAATAAGAGAAAAGTTTGCTACGGATGATTTGCATTGTTGGCCCAGTGCCAGTGACGCTGTTAATTAATTTAAATACAAGTTAGCACAAAGATTCCCCAATTTCACGTAATATTGCCCCTCAAACATAACAAGGGAGGTTTCTGATTTTTGCAAAATTAGCACCAATTGATTACAAACTTTGATATGGTTGCGTAATCTCGTAATGCGCTTGTTTAGCTGAAAAAATGAAAAAACGCGCCTTTAACCCCTTCCCTACAACACAAAGGGCTAAGGGTTTCAACACTTCGTTAGCTACCATTTTACTTCAGATGTCAGATATCGAAAATATGCAAAAGTGAATGAAAAACTCGAAAATTCGAAAATTCCATTTTTTGACATGGCTTTGATATGTAGCAAAATGTTTGGCAGAAAAAGTCCACAAACATTTCACTTTTTGCAATGGAGTTTTTCCGTTTTTCCTTGGTTTCTGGTCGTCATAGAAAAATTTGTGATCGATTGACACTAATTTATTTCAAGATCGGAAATCATACTGAGAGACTTCTATTGTAAGAGAGAAAGTAAAGAAAAAACTATATATTATTCTGGCATTTAAACTCACCGACTGGATCAACGTGTAGGACCAGATGCAATACAAAGCTTGCTAGAAAGATGACCCCGATTAAATTCTGGATGACAGGAAAGCGTCCCATTTCTGTATCAAGATTTTCTTCGACGAGACAAAAGACGGAGGTGTTATGACGGGCTGGCAGGTTAAGTTAAGAGTGGAGAGATTAGGAAAGTTTTATTGTATTTATATGTGGAAAAATTTACTGTTGAGGGAACGTCCATAATTTGCGCTGTAATAAATTCCATTTTTGTGATAAATTGTGATTTTTAGACCACCCACCATCTATCATAGTTAGGCGACCCAAAATCATTCACTCACCATACTGATTTATAACGTAATATATACACGTTCCTGGTACGCATGAGTGAAAAATTTTGTGAGGAAGGGTAAAGAATGTGAGGTGGGTATTTTATCACAAAGACGCCGCTCACCGTGCTACTTTGTATGCTGTTTTAGTCGGCTCCGTTGTTGGGGAAAAAGGGTTAAGTCGTGTTTAATGGTCCTAATTTGAAAACTTTCATTGTGCTACGTGGTATTTTTATCATTTTAAACCCAGCGGTGCATTGACTTTAGGTCAACGCTCCCACGTAGTTTGACAGTGTTATATGTTTGTGCATGCAATTGTTTAAAATTATAGATACCTACAGTAATTACAACATGGGGACATTAATATTGAAAATTAGGGGAGGGAGGGGTTTACATGGGGAGATGATTGGGACATCGAATAACCGTGGGGGGACAGTGCCCCCTATCCCCACACTTCCGCGGCCACTGTTTTAGTTTAGCATCAGGGTCGGGGTTACCCATTTGACATATTTTTTTATAAAGTCAACTGACGCCAAGTCTGTGTGAGCTAAGAAGCCCAATGGGGTTACAAAGTTGCTCTGAAATCCTTCACCATCCAGAAAAAGTTAGCCCTTTACTTTAGAGAAGCCCTTGGCATTGTGTCGCTAATGGGACCTGAAGTCCATTAAATATTATGAATAGTAATATATTTATTTATAAACAAATCTTTCCCTTGACTGGGTTCTGTTTAATTTAAAGGGTTTATAGCAGTCCCTAATGTGATATTTTCTCTACAGTTTTGTAGGAAAAAAAATGACATTCTAAATAAATGTATGTACATGTATGTATTTATGTTTAAAACACCGTCTGTCAAAGGACGGGTAAATATTTTTTATTCATAGTCAAGATCTTGACAGTCAACAATTTACGTAAACTGAAAATTGACTCCGCTTTCATTTACGTGTACTTATCAAACATCGGAATTGTGAAAAATATAACCGCTTTGTCTCGAAATTGTTTAGAGTGTACATTTGCACCGTAAGATTGCTTGATGGCCACCCATTTATCCATCTGCGAAAAATAATTAAGTATTGTCTTAATATCTATTGGTCCTGTTGAAGATTTACTGTTCCGATATCAACATGGCACGTGCGATATATATTTTCGTCATATTGATAGTAACTTAAAAAAAATGGAAATCAAATTAAATGATGGCTTAACATATATATTGCTTTGTCGTGTAACTCGGGCATCCAGATATGCCAAATTATGTATATTTAAATACATTCATCGGCTAAGGTAAAATAAAAGTCTAAACTCTCACCATTATTAGCTCACCCTGCGTAGCAAGGGAGCTATTGAATTCCTCTTGTCCGTCTGTCTGTCTGTCTGTTCACGAGTTTTTTGCATCAATTCATGCTAATTAACATGCCCCATGTGTAAACCTTAGCAAATTAGTAGCACCATTGGTCTCGAACAGTCGCTAACACAAAATGGTGCCAAACAATTGGGAAAATAGATGCAAAACACACCAAACGTGCATAAGAACCGAAAAAATAACTAGAATTTTTAGTTCGAATTTGTCACGATTTTATGTCAAAATTATGAATTCATTTTCCTCGTTTATTTTCCACTAGGGGTGGTCTATCCGATCCGAGAATATCCGATCCGTCGGATCGGATCGGATCGTAAATAAAAACATCCGACAGCTATCGGATCGGATCGGATAAGGCTATTTATCCGATCGGATCAATCCGACGGATACTTCGGATATCGGATCGGATATCGGATAATCCACATTTACTAAAATTCTGCAGTCTGCTGGTGACTTTGCGAGAATATTTTTCCTGATGTGCGTAAATTCAAATGGCTGACTTACCTGATAAATGTTAGCATAATTAATTAGTGTAATTTGTTATTATTTTTATTATTTTTTATTATCAAATCTCACCCATCAAGATTTTATACAAGACGCATTAAAATTGTAACCTAAGGTAATTAGTTACGTATTGTAATTAATTGCTTTACGCATCAACTGAAACCAAGTTATTAATTACTAATTTCAATTACATTGCCATTAAATCCTATTACCAGTTAAACTACCCATTCATTTTGCCTTCTTTATGCTTCTTATAGATAACGAAGTACTTAATTATAAAACAAATTGTTGTTAGTTACTTAATTAGTTACAATTATATGGTTTTATAATTAATTACTGCAATACTTACTTAAATAAGTTAATTATTCATGTTTTCCATGGATAATTAACGCATTTGATATCCTTTCAAAATTTTACGGATTATTATCCGATCCGATCGGATATCCGGCGGATTACTCGGATTCGGATCGGATAGGCCCTCATATCCGATCGGATTATCCGAGATAGTGTAATATCCGATCCGATGGACTGCTTATCCGATCCGATCCGAACCGATCCGTCGGATGACCAACCCTATTTATATGCATATGTTTTGTAGGGCTCTCATGAGACACGAGGGGACAAAATGGTGTGATTGCTTGTGGATATATGTTGCATGAAAATAGCACATTTAATGGAATACTGTTATTTCTACTTTATTAATAATTTTAATTTCATATCGGCTTTTTGTTTTATTCCACACTTGAGGTGCACCTTAATCACGGCGGTGTCAATCTCCAAACCATTCTCATATTCCCCGACTTGCAAGGAAACATTTGAATCATGTAATCCACCCCACCCGCCGGAATTGCACATAGTCCAGTAACTTTATGCACAAGAAGGAAATTACCTACTGTTCCCACACTTCTAAATTCCCATCCATGCCACGGGTTATCATAATTGCAACGATCCGTCCAAATAGTTCCGCCTGCTCCATTCCCCGCATACAAACATCGCTCGGCATTCTCTGTATTTCCCGACTCTGTGAAGGGCGTTCCCAACCTCTTGTCGCCTGGACCATCCCGAATTTCTAGAGAATTAAGCGGCGTTATATCCTTTGAAGGTGGACAATTGGACATCTTGGCGGGAACCATGTGTCCAAACAGATCCGGTGTCGCGATGCAATTTCCATCAAACTGATTTTGGATAAGTTTTCCATTCAGTCGGCATCTTCCCCGGAAACACCGACCTGATCCTTTGCCACAAATTGAATTGTCCAAAACGCCCAAGAAATGGGTCCAGATAACGCTCGGATTTGATTCATCACGTCGTTTACACCTCAATTGTTTACAGTCGTACGTATCAGCGTCATCAACCCAAGCGTTGGGATTCTTTAGACTTTTCTTGCAAAGATCCAACACACTGGGGGCTTTAGGAGAAGAGAATCTAGGATGCATCGGGGTAGTTGGTAAGCCATCAATGCTTCTCAGACAAGCGGCAGAGTCCGAACTTAAAAAATAGATTTGGGGTAATATAAGAAAATTCCACTTCCAGTTAATACAAATTGTATTAACTTACTTAACAAAACGGGATATATGTCGGTCACTACAGTCTGAAAAGAAGTATCGATAGTTGTCGTTTCCTCCACTCATGATGAAGCCGTAGGGTGGAGGACAATTCGCGTTTGGATCGTCATCGTGTGGTGCTCCAATACTGCCAACAGTAAGAAAACCGAAAATGGGGTAAAAAGAGATGACCAAATCAAAACACTTGTCAATGTTGTAATGTTAGGGCGAAATTTTTCTCACGTATGCGCCATCTCATGCGCCCCGACGGTAACGCTACCCCAATCCCCGCCATCATTCCAAACGCACGTTCCCCAGTCAATCCTTCTGCCATTATCGACTCCGCAAGTTCCACTTCCCCATGCCAGACCGCCACCCCATTCCAACCTTGTAGCCGTTATTAGAGGCGCCAAATCGTGTCTGACCAACCAACCTCGCTGCTCGTATATCCAATTCATGTAAAGACCTAGAATTCGACCAAATTCTGCGCGGCCGTCGGACGCACGCGCTTTCTCGATGAACGGTTGAGCTTGTGTCGACTTGGGTGGGAAATAGGAACAATTACTAATATACTGACTCATTTTTTACACGTGAGGCAAATTTACCTCCATAATTAGTAATCCATTCACACGGAAGGATATATCCAGACTTGGGAGTGTCTTGTAGCGAATATTGACATCCCAAAAGTAAACGGTCAGATAATCCACGATTCTTTGATAGTTGTGGGAAAAGAGGTCACCAAATTCTTTGTCAACGACAATCACAATTTCTATATTTGCCGGACCAGTGGCCATTATTGAAGAAATTCCCGACGAGAAATTACGATCGGCAACAACTTTAATTGTTATAGGAAGAAGAATGCAAATATGTAAATTTTTTAGTAAACGGAAAAGTAGTAATTTAAGTAATTGTTACGGGAATCTATTCGGTAGTTGGGGTAGTCTAGTTTTGGCCCGTTGGTTATAGCAGCGTCTCTCAAATTCTGGACGAAAATATTCACAAGGTGTAATTTTTCCAGAAGAAGAAATTTAAATGGATTATTACCCTGTTGGGGTTGGCCCCTTCAGATACCCATTTCCGAATAGTGGGGTTTCCACTTTCATCGGCTCCAATTATGTGGACCTGGAAATCTGGGCTTAGCACGGTTTCTGCGAGAATTATTTGTTTTGAAAATTTTAAATATAAATTTTTCATAAAAAATATCCTCAACTTACCCGGAGAACCCGACACGCCCTGCCACAGCGTAACAACGGCTATGTAGGAGACAATAATTTTCATTTTGTTAGCAGCGTCTATGCGATTTAATTAGGTCGGATGTCATCCGACGGATGAGGAATAATATTAATCAAGCTAAACCTTATATGCATATAAACTATATAATTTACAATGCGAAAGCATGAAGTGATTCGCTCCGATTTTGACCGGACTAATTTTAAATAGCCCACGCACATAAATAAGTGGACCCGTATTTTTACGTCTACTTGATTGCGCGTGTTCTCGCCAGTGGCGTAATTTTTGAATAAATTTTCAGCCAAAGTCACGATTTTTAAAACAGCTGTAAATTTTTAAATTAATCAAATGTCAAAAATTGGAAAACATGTCCGCTCAGAATGACTTCCATGAGATTATAAAAATAAGTTTCTAAAAAAACTTTTGAAATTTGAAATTTTCATGCTGTTTTTGAATTTTGAAAATTCCAAAATTTTTTTAAAATTCAACGTTTTTCAAAATTAGATTTTTTTATTACTCAACATAATTCTTAGAAAACATGTTTTCGAATTTTTAACATTTGGTCGTAATTCGAAAATTTACAGCATTTTGAAAAATCGTGATTTTGGCTGAAAATGTATTAAAAAATTCCGCCACAGGCGAAAACACACGCATTCAAGAAAACGCAAAAATACGGGTCCGCTTATTTATGTGTGTGAATAATTTAAAATTAGTCCGGTCAAAATCCGAGAGAACCACTTCATGCCTTCGCATTGTTATATAATCCATAATTAAGGATATTTCAATGTGAAAATTACTCACTGTATTATTTCATCCTGCTTAAAGTAAAATTGAATTATTGTGAAACTCCATACGGACCCAGTTGTTTGAGGTTTTCAGAAACCCATTAATGTAATAAGTCGGTGCCTTCAGTCAGCATTTATTGTACCTGAATTAATTTATTATATTTGCCCAGCATGTATTTTGCAATTTATATAACTTTCCAGGAAAATAGGGAAATGAAGTGCGACATTGTTTTTATTATATAATTATTTAAAGAAGAATAAGTATCCAGCCGTTATTATAGATACATACGTACTCGTTAAGTATTGGTCCGTTTTATTGTTTCTGAGAATTATTGACTACGGAAGATCATATGTACCCCGTAATAAATCTGTAGCATGTACATATTTACTGGATAATTATTATTCGAGCTTATGCTAATATGTACTTAATTTGCTGCGGTGAAACAAATTTTAAGGATTCTGATTTAGGATTAATCTTCAATAAAAATTAGTCTGGAATGAAGCAACTTTTTTCGCGTCCGTATTTATACATGTTCACATAAAGGTAAGGAACAGTTACACGCATACTTAAATACACACTCTAAGAAATTTGATCACCGGATTACCACCGGGCGGTGACTATATGTCCATCACAGGATTTCTCACTGTGCAAATAAACCTGCATAACATAAATGCAAAAAGTATAGAAATAAGTGTGTAAATAATATCAAATCCAACGTTTTGGAGGACATTTGCTTTAACACTGATTTTCACATCCCCAAATCAAGTTTTCATCAATACTGGTAAGTCAGTTTTTCGCATTTATCAAATTTCCGCAAGTTCAGTTTTTTCCAAAACCTGAGAAAATTTCAAAGACCTTTACTTTCAATTTCTCCGCAGGGGAAGGTATTTAGCAGCAACTCGTATTTTTACAAACTGAAGTCTTGTTTGATTTCAGACATGTCTGAAATCATGGACATCATGGACAGTGTCAAGCGAGGGCAAAAACCGGGACGAGGGGGGCTACAAAAAAAGGGTCTCCGGCAAAAAGGTCAGACAATTTGCCTGTTTTTTTTAGATTAATGGGGGAGCGGATTACATTAATAAGTATAGCTTTATTGTATATTCTCAGTACATTTTCAATCGAATATGATAAATAATATTTGTATTTATTATTATTAATATTTGTATTTGTATTTGTATTTTTGTGTAATTTCTGAAATAATTCTATTTCGCCATCAATCCGACTTCTGTCTTTAGTTGTTCTGTGTGTTGATTTGATTTTATGTTATGCTGATTGATTTTATGTTGATTTTTTATAGGGGAGCCTTGCGTGAATCTTTGCTTCTTCCTTCTTCCTATCCACAACCTGAGACGTATTAAAAAACTTCAAACCACTTCCTGCCTTCCCCTTTCTGTAAAATCTCCAGCTTTTGTCTTCTTGCTGCGAAAAATGCATGTTTAATGCCTGTTCTAACAGTTCGTCGCAATCACTTGGGTGGGGTCCATTATAGCTGATGAACAGCTCTTCCATTAAATTTCGGTGGGTGAGGTTCCTTTGCTCCTTTATGTTCTTGGCCACCCTTCCCATTGACTCGCAAATTGCTTCACAATGGGCCCGCATCATAGAACTTAGGAGAAGGTCGGTAGCATCGGCAATGTTCATTCGTGTTGCGCTTCCACAAATCTTATTGAAGACGCGTTGTTCCACTTCCCAGGGTGCTTCATCCAGAGCCGTGGTATGAAATTGTGCATCGTGTTGTACCAGATCCGCAACGACAGACGAAAATACCCTGTATTGCTCTGCGATATTTTCTTCTGTAATGTTCGACGGAATAAAGCCTGGGCCCTTGCTTCGGCGGAAATACTCCAGAAACTCCTGGGGAACAGATCCCTCCAAATTGTATTTCAAAATATTTTCCAGCCAAGCTGATACGAAGCAGGGATGTTAGGTTCTGCTCTTTTTTTGTATCCATCGGTGAAAGTTTTTAGAAAGCACTCCCACTCTTTCTCGATCGTCTGCACATGTTCCTCAATGTTCACTCTAACGTTTTCAGCCCCTTCCACCATTGAGGCTTGCGGTACGGCACCCCTGGTTCGAGTTTGAACTTGAGGTGACATATACAGAGCCTTTCCTTTGAACGATTGGACACCGTCACCCATCTCCGTCACCCAACTCATCCAGAACTGATTTGAAATTCTTCAAGCCATGGTGCAGATTTTCAAAATTATTATTTGAAATTGAATTGTTCTTTGCATTTAGTGTTATGAGTCCGTCATCAATATAGTCGTACAACCTCCATGATAGAAGGCCAACTGTTTGGGATTTCGGAGACACTGTTTGCAGGACATTTAACACATCTGCCGTATATGCAGTGCGCAAAATGAACGGAACGTTATTCATCCTGTTCAGATTGTCATCCTTCTCAAGAAAATCATAAATTGAAGGATAGTTGTTCAGGAAATGCGAAAGCACGTCATGCTGATGTCGCAAGTACCGAGTTTCTGACTTTTGCAGTGGAACAAGTAATTTACTACCATCCTTCCCGAATTCTTCAGCTTGAGACTTGAGGTCTGTAAATGCCTTTGGGGACCTTGTAAATATGCCGTCGATTGTGTGGATAGTCTGGTCAACTGCGGCTATGGTCCCTTTATTTGCGTCTGCATAGGCCAGCTCCAGAAGGTGAGATTTATCCCAATCCCAGGAGTACCACGAATGCGTGGATTGAGGGATGTTCAAACAATTTTCATTTCTCATAAGATGAAGACCAACTCCCAAATTCTTTATGTATTCTCCGTCCATGCAGCCTCCTACCAGTCTGTAAAGAACAAAGAAATATCATTAAATTGAAATATTTCACAAGGGATGCTTCCCGACTGCTTAGCTTACCCAGGGTACCTACTATGATTTTTCGAATCTACTAGTACCCTAGGTGAAGCATCCATTCACATTTCTGTTTAAATATCAGATTTGATGACTTGGCGTGGCCCAAAATTCGGCCAAATTTGCACCTTTTGTTCTAAAAACCGCCATAACCTTTTCTTAAAATTTTCTTAAAATCCAATTTAGCAAAAACAAAATTTTACCCACTCCACGAAATTTTTTGCATAGGGTATTAACTTACAATTTGGCGAAAAAATATCACATTTGGCGAAAATGGTAATTTTATGCCTGGCTTAACTACAAAACTTATACGACAAAGATTTACGTATAATCTTCTCAGCAATTTGCAAAAGCCTACGGGCCTTATGCATAAAAATTTACGTAAATGCTTTTACTTCAAAATTTCCTTGGTAAATTTTTATTTTCTGGCTCGAAATTTTGTAACTACGTAAGGGTCCCATTCGTTCCCAGGACACATTCCGCCTTCTCGTTCGGCTTGCAAACGGTGGAACTGCAGTTTTGTTGCGCGTTGTCGCACTAATGGATAAATTAGTGGTTAAAGTACATGTTACGGCCGGGGCTTATCAACTTCAGAAATTATCTTCTCGTGATAACTGGTTTTCTGGTGATCTGACCTCGTGCCGTAATGAACTTATGCGTAGACTTGACTTGTACTTAAACGTAGACTTAACTTGGACTTGAAACTCAAAACTGGCCTAAAATCTTGCCAAAACGGCTTAAATCGTGCCAATTGGACTTTACTTAGCTTATGCGTAGACTTATTGGACTTTATACTGGACTTGAACTTGAACTGGTCTAAAAACTAGTTAAATTCTGGTTAAATGCTGGTTTTATGCTTGTTGAGTGCTTGAGTTTGCTTAATGTAGAGTATACGTAAATAAAATACCTAAAAAACTTTAATTAGAAACTTCTCGTCAATTAAATTTTAGTATTTATTCGAATACTTTTCTACTACAAAAAATGGAGCTTCTTGCTCGCTCGACTTACTACAAGACACTGACTTAACTCAACGTTCACTCTCTCATTCACTCGCTCGCTGACAAAGGACAAGCGTCCTCTCTCCCACTCAAACTCATATCACCATGGCAACTGCCACCTCGTCATGGGGAAATTGCACACTGACATTCATACTTATACTTAAATACTTAACCAAATTACCATATAAAATTACATGGACTTTATACGCATAAATTAAACATTATTAAACCTATGCCTCGCCGCAACAGTACAAGTTTTAGTTTAATAATTTACATATCGTCATACTAATTTAATAAATAGCTACACAGATTGGTGATTGAATTTTAGATATGGTTTCGTGCAAAGGAGGAATGGTACGGAAGTTCCACTGCTTTCAATTATCAACAAAACTTTAGATTTTTAGTGTCACGAACGTCTAATTTTTTTTGCACACTCATTGAGTTTAGAGTACTCGGTGAGGCCGAGTACTCGCGTATTTTCACTAGTCGAACCCGGCCGAGTATCTTCGCCCACTCATATTTGACAGAAGAAAAGGGAACGTTTTTTAATTGAAACTTCAAAAGGCTGGCGGTTTTTGCGTTCTATCCAAACAAGGGACATAATAAAACCTGCCTTCACCATAATCGTATGCTATACCGTATAGCATACGATTATGGTATAGCCTTTACGTAGCCTATACGCCGTCTCTCCGTATAGCCTATACGGAGAGACGGCGAAAGGCATTCAATATAATTAAGCTATGGACGTGTTATGCTTACTAGGTAAGCTATTAACATGGGTGGAGAGTTTAGCCATCCCACTATATGTATGCAATGCACAATATATTGGTGTTACACAATATGCACAAATTTCCGTGTTAAAATCACTTTTGAAAAAGTGATGAGCATTTTAGTGACGCAAGTCTGGGAGGTAATCAGGTAATGAGGCAAGACGACTTTTGTGATTCAAAAAACGGAAAAAGAGGATAAAAAATTCATCAATTTTTGGACCACACCCCCTTGCAGGGTTAAAAGGGAAGGAGTGTTTTTACACTTCAAAAACTCTATGTGCTCCTGTAGAAGACATCCACAAAACGGAATTTGTAAAATATTTCCCACTGCCGAGATATGATTTTTTAACAGCACACTTTAACATGATGGAATGTAAAATGATTTACATTTTGTTTTTAATTTTTCCTGAAAAATTCACAGCGAATGGAAGGGGAATTGATGTCTGTAACATATGTTGGCATGTGCATGCCAAATTTCGCATCTCTACGACAAAGTTTAAAATTTCACATGCCTCCATCCAAAATGTACGTCACACCGCATGCACGTTCCATTTTGCGCAGGAACCTCTGTCCAAGTAATACTTTACCTGATAATCTAGACAATAGCATTGACCAGTAAAGAAATTGCAGGATGGAATGACGGTACGATAGGTCGGTCCACAGCGAAAAGACGAGGAATTACATCCAACCGCATAACAATACAAAATTATTAGGAATTTGACAAATAAATTAAGCAAATATTTACAATTTATAGACTCACATTATTTACAAGTGGATTTAAATTCAATAGCTGAGAATTTACGAGCTCCCCTGTCCACCAGAACGCACCAAGAACAAACAAGACGAAGTGAAACCAGCGCCTATGGTGACAAACATTTAATTTTATTATCCAAAAGAATTTCATACTTAACTCTTTATTTTCATTTTTCATAGTGCGCTAATTTGAGCAAGAATTTTAAACCGATTTCCAGCCAAAACCGCGGGTTTCCAAAATCCCTAATTTAACCTTTTTGAATTTTAGCGCCAATCAAAAAATTGAAAACATGTTTCTTCAAAATGACTTACTTGACCAATTAAGAATAAATTTGCAAACTTTTTTTTAAATAAGAAAATTTGCAGGAATTTATATCCTCGGAATATCATTTCACTCAATAAAATATCTACGATAAATAATTTTGAACATATTGTCAATTTATTACACACATTCGATAGTTCAAAAACCAATTAAGCCATTGACAGCGCTTCTAATTTTTTAAAAGTTAGCAATTGTACATTATTCTCAATTTTTCGACGTCATTACCACTAACAATGCGATGACGCCAGCGGCCTCGCTCCGATTTTGACGAAACTACATAATTATAAAAATTTGCATAAATGATTGAACACGTGTTTCGGGTTTTTTCATAATGCTCATCCTCAGTTTAAACAAAGTACTGATGTTATAAGTGAGCGAGAATGGGCATTTTTCTCTGGCAAATGCGTTGATCTCGGCTTAAAAAGAGGCAAAAACGAGCCCCAAAACCGACCTATTTTACACTTTTCGAATGTTATATCTCATTCTTACAGAATGCTACGGATTACATTTGAATCAGTTTATCTCCACAAACTATAGTTATCATCACGACAACGAGTGCAATTATTAGATCTACGTTGAACTACATTGGGAGAAGTGACACGGTTTGGTTAATGCAGAAATCCTGCGTAACCAATGCCGTTCCTTTGTCAATAAAATCGCTGCCCACATTGATCCTCGTCGGTTGCAGGGATCGGATCATTTTCCACGATACCCTATTTCCCGA